ATATTAGTACCAGGTGTAAATGTGATCAGGTCAAGATCATATCTAGATAATGATCTGGATACTAAATGCATTACAACACCAGGTGTCAATGGAATCAATGTTGACACATGTTCAGACTGTGATATGCAAATTGTCATGATTATATGTTACAGTTTAGTTTGACAATAGCGTTGATTATTATCTTCAAATGTATTTTATTTAGTTTGTGATCAATTTAAAGACCTCACCAGACGACTCGTTGACAAGTTCCTCTATTTTCTGGAGGCTACATTTTCACATTTCCATTTCAGATGCGACCAACACTTTGCCCCTGGGAGGTGACTTTGTATAATATGTTCCAGTGGATTTGAGGAAGGCTTAAAAAATGTTAAAGTATAAATGGAAATTTCCTCAAATAACCTTTTCAAGCAGAGGAACACTTGGATTTTTTTCACCCGGGTTTTACTCATTGAAAACATATAAGAAGTTTTTCACCAGACATATGATGATGCAGTAAAACAGGAATGTCATGATAAACAACTTGAGGTTCAGAGAACTGCATCTTACCTGCATCATAACCTTTTATTTTTTTATATTTGCTAATGACATTACCTAATGTTATTAACCGTGTTTGCTTGGTTATTGACAGCAGGTGACTACAACAACATGAAGCATGCGCGCAGCAATAACATGTTACATATACGACATTACAAGACCGGTTTTTGAATCCAGAATATTTATTTAAAACCAAGGAAGTTGTGAATTCCCTACAGAGCACGTTGTAGTATTCTTCCCTGTGATTGGCTGATCCAGGGCTGAGTGGGTGGTTGCGGAGACTGTGATTGGCCAGGTGGACGAGCCCTTCGAGGTGACCCTGCTCTACACTTCCTCTCTGCGGGAGGGCGGCGACACTGTGGCTCTGGACTCTCTGGAGCTGATAGACTGTGAATCAGGTGAGTCCATCGTGTCCTGCAGGCGTGTGAACTGAACTCAAGTGAGCTGCACATGTTTGGAAAGTTTCCACAGAGGTTTAAAAGAGAAACACTAATTATTACGATTCCCTCGATACAATGTAAAGGAGCTTATTGAGACTCAGTGCTGCAGGAGGTCCCATGTATTTTTGGGAATGATTGCCAGCAAATAATATTGTTATTAATTAAAAATAATGATGTTTCTAAGTAGCGTGTTTATCTGTATCACCTGTGAGGCAGATTTCTTACGGGATGTGAGGTGCACATTATTTTCTAATAAATCATTTGAGGTTTCTGAAACATCAGAAAAGACAGAAATTTTGTTTTGTGTGACCAACAGTTAAAAAATTTCTCTAAACTATTCTTTACATTTTGCTTCAAACTGTGATGAGAGGTCAGAAGAAAAGACCGTGTTGTATTAAGAGGACACAAGGGAAACAAATGTTGGGACTGATAAAAACAAAGTGTGACATTGTCACTGTTGTCTGGTTTCTGGGCTGCAGACCACCAGGATGCTTTTTGTGGGGAAGATTACCACTGTGTTCACTCTGAAGACTGCATCGACCCGAGCCTCGTGTGTAACTTCCACACTGACTGTCCGTACGGTGAGGATGAGGGCTTCATTTGTGGTAAGATTTATTTCTTCTTTAAAAAAATAAAACAAGATGCAGAAGTGGATATTGCATTCAGTGAAACTGTGGTCTTGAATTTCTATTAGTAATCTATTTAAATTGACTTTTATCTAATGGTTGTAGAGGTTCTCCTTTTTTATGTTGATAAATAATTCTTCGTTTGATTTGATCTGTGCCGTCGGACTGATTCTGAACGTGCAGGTGTATGAAAGCAATATGAAAAGCAGACTTGTACATGTGGGTGCTTCTGGTACAGATGTCCTACAGCAAGTTCAAATCCATAATAAATTATTAATCCTTTGACTGAGGGAGCCATATTATTCTCGGCTAAGTGCCTCCATGCAACAAACTATATTTTAAGTACATAGAGTCACCATAATGTGAAGTATGAAGCCTAAGTGTGGCTTTTGTGCTTGAACTAATTTGCATCAATCTACATTTTTATGCTCTTTATTTCTTCATTAGCTGGAAATAATATTGGATTTTCATCTTGAATGTATGTTTTTAATCATAAGATATTCTGCAAATTATTAAGTTGAGATGATAAAAATATTACATAACATAAACCCTTATGGATCAATTGTGTTTTAAATTTCAGATTAAAACAAAAAGAAAAATGAATGATTTAGTGTCTTCAATCAATATTGTATGTATATTCATTCACTCCCCAGCCTGAAATATATCAATCTTCCTACTTTAGGACAAAGAAAAACACTTTGAACATCTCTTTGTCATCTCTTTACTCACGTTAAGATCAAAAGATATTTTCGTGGAATGGAGAAAGGACAAGAAAGAAGCTCTGTATAAAAACGTGCCTATGGGCCGCCTCAGAAGCTCACCTGTTAGAGGACACAAACTAGAATGACACTCATTAGAGTGCACAACTCCACCAAGGCCAACAGTCGCCTTTAAAACCACATTTAAATCTGCTAGAATGGTTTTAATTTGAATCAGCACGTTTCACACTCAGTCCCCTAAACATGGATTTTTCTCATCAAGATACATGAATTATTCTCTGAGAAATCATTGAAAATGTAAATCTAATTGTTAAAGAAGGTGAAGAATTGCATCTTTCTAAGAGTCATGGAAATCTGTTTAGAGGTTTTTGCATGATCCTGCTGACAAACAAGCAAGGCCAACGAACAGACAGGGTCAAAAACATAACCTCTTTGGTGGATGTCCTTTGTTTTTGTTGAACACTGTAGACATTTTAATTTAAAGGTCCAGTGTGTAAGATTTAGGTGAAAGGGATTTTTGGCAGAAATTCAATATGAAATAATCCTAGAAAATGAAAATGAGACAAGAGTTCAGAATGTTAAATTCTATATTTTAGTTCATCTAGATGTTTAACAACTTGTTCAGAACCAGCCATTTTACAAGGAAGCAAAAATAAAGGAATAGGTGTCTTACAGGTGTTATTGTTACTGAGGTGGTACCTTTCTGACCGATTGTTAAAACGACTGTCTTTACTGTTGCTATTACCCTCACATTTCCCCGTACAGACAGTATTCAGAGAGCTGTGAAAGGGAGAAAGGCCATTTTGCAGAAGAGTAAAAAAGGGAAAATTGATCAAAGCCATTGCACAAACACTAAGCATAACCAACACAACAATTTGTAATGTCCTAGTAAAGAAAGGAGCTACTTGTGTACTGAGCAACAGACATCAAACAGGTCAGCCAAGGACAACAACAGCTGCAGCAGCAGCAGCTGGTGATATACTGTATATATTTATTCATATATTTATATATATATTTTCATTATAAGAAATATTTTGAGAACAGTCGCTGACATAATCACCAGCCTCCACAGGGCTGGGATTAATGTATATACGTATACGTGCTTGTGTCTAATTCAAAACACATTTCCTGCGACTTTACACTACCATCTATCCATCCAGCTATCTATCTATCTATCTATCTATCCATGCATCCATCTATCCATCTATCTTTCTGTCTATCTATCCATCTATAT